TATGAAGGTCGGCTCAGGCCTCTCCGACTGATAAAAGACCTGAGAGAGGCACGAGGACATGAAAGGTTTTGGGGCTCAGGCCTCTCCGACTTAAGAAAACCTGAAGGAGAGGACTCGGCCCCTTTTGATGTAAAAGACCCGTGAAGGGAATAGGACTAGAAGGTTTGGACTCAGGCCTCTCCTGACTGATAAGAAGACCTGAGAGAGGGACAGAGGGGCTTTAAGGTTCGGGCTCAGGCCTCTCCTACTGATAAAAAACCTGAGAGGAAGAGGCTTTAGGTCCTGGGCTAGGCCTCTCCCGACTAATAAGAAGACCGAGGAGGACAGAGACTTGAAAGGTTTTGGACTCAGGCCCCTCCTGAGATAAGAAGACCTGAAGCACAGGGACTAGGCCTCTCCGATGTAAGAAGACCTGTGAGGCACAGAGGACATGCGGGGGCTGGGCTCCGGGCCTCTGATATAAGAAGTTGAGAGGCACAGAGGACTATGAAGGTTCTGGGTCAGGCCCCTCCTGACGATAAGAAGACCCGTGAGAGGCACGAGGAATCAGGGTCTCCTGCTATAAAAAGACTGTGAGGGCAAGAGGAATAGAAGGTTCTGGATCAGGCCTCTCCTGACTGTAAGAGACTGAGAGGCCCGAGGAAATTTAAGGTTTGGCTCAGGGTTCTGACTGAAAGAAACCTGAGAGGCACAGAGATATAAGGGGCTGGACTCGGGCCCCTTCCCGACTGATAAGAAGACCTGAAAGGCACAAAAGGAATGAAGGTCCTGGATCAGGCCTCTCCGACTGATAAGAAGACCTGAAGGGGACAGAGGACTCAGGCCTTTACTGATAAAAAGATGGGGAGGCCAGAGGATATGAAGGGTTTTGGGCTCAGGCTTCCTGACTATAAAAAAGCCCGAGAGGCCCAGAGGACTATGAAGGGTTTCTGGACTCAAGGCCTCTCTGACTTGATAAGACGACCTGAGAGGGCACAGAGGGACTATGAAGGTTCTGGAATCAGGCCTCTCCCATGACTGATAAGAAGAACCTGAGAGGCACACGAGGACTATGAAGGTTCTGGACTCGGGCCTCTCCTGGACTGATTAAGAAGACCATGTGAGAGGCAAAGAGGACTCAGGCCCTCTCCTGACTGATAAGAAAGACCTGAGAGAGGCACACGAGGACTATGAAGGTTCTGGAACTCCAGGCCTCTCCTAAACTGATAAGAAGACCTGAGAGAGGCACAGAGGACTATGAAGGTTCTGGACTCAGGCCCTACTCTGACTTGATAAGAAGACCTGTGAGAGGCCCACAGAGGGCCTATGAAGGTTCTGGACTCAGGGCCTCTCCTGCCTGATAAGAAGACCTGAGAGGCACAGAGGACTATGAAGGTTCTGGACTCAGGCCTCTCCTGACTGATAAGAAGACCTGAGAGGCACAGAGGACTATGAAGGTCCTGGACCCCAGGCCTCTCCTGACTGATAAGAAGACCTGAGAGGCACAGAGGGACTATGAAGGTTCTGGACTCAGGCCTCTCCTGACTGATAAGAAGACCTGAGAGGCACAGAGGACTATGAAGGTTCTGGACTCAGGCCTCTCCTGACTGATAAGAAGACCTGTGAGAGGCACAGAGGACTATGAAGGTCCTGGACTCAGGCCTCTCCTGACTGATAAGAAGACCTGTGAGAGGCACAGAGGACTATGAAGGTTCTGGACTCAGGCTGGGCCACAACACCAACAAGAGAAAGAGACTCAGTTGTTGCTCAGCAAGAGAGACGGATTGTTTATCCTAGAATGAAGGAGGTGACTAAGCCTAGTCTGAAGGTATAAATATATGTGCTTTGCAGCTGCAACAGCCAGTGGTGAATAAATCTAGTTTGAGCTCCTTTTGGTGTCTGACTGGATTTGGACCAGAATTTAGAACCTAACACAATTAAGTACCTTACTGGGATTATTTTCAATTAAAATGGTTAAAAATAAACAAAAATAGCTTCTTAGCAAAAGCTATTTCTCAAGCAAGAATTTAGCTATGTAATGTCTGGGAGTGGTCTGAGTCTATTGACTAATTTACCGCCTGGTGATGTCACCAGGCAGGCCAAAACTCCCTCCCACCAAAACCGGCTGACATTTCAGGCAGTCTTTTCAAACAGCCCTTACACTAAAAAGGTTTTATCATCATGTTCACAATGTCACAGTATTATTCCAACCTCATAGTGTGGATATACAGTACCAGTCAAAAGTTTGGACACACCTACTCATTCCCGGGTTTTTCGTTATTTTTACTATTTTCTACAATAGTGAATACATCAAAACTATGAAATAACACTTATGGAATCATGTAGTAACCAAAAAAAGTGTTAAACAAATCAAAATGTATTTTATATTTGAGATTCTTCAAATAGCCACCCTTTGCCTTGATGACAGCTTTGCACACTCTTGGCATTCTCTCAACCAGCTTCATGAGGTAGTCACCTGGAATGCATTTCAATTAACAGGTGTGCCTTCTTAAAAGTTCATTTGTGAAATTTCTTTCCTTCTTAATGTGTTTGAGCCAATCAGTTGTGTTGTGACAAGGTAGGGGTGGTATACAGAAGATAGCCCTATTTGGTAAAATACCAAGTCCATATTATGGCAAGAACAGCTCAAATAAGCAAAGGGAAACGACAGTCCATCATTACTTTAAGAGATGAAGGTCAGTCAATGCGGAACATTTCATACTGGCCCCCCGTGGGAATCGAACCCACAACCCTGGCATTGCAAATGCCATGCTCTACCAACCGAGCTACATTCCCTCCCCTACCCTGGGCCAATTGTGCGCCGCCCCATGGGTCTCCCGGTCGCGGCCGGCTATGACAGAGCCTGGATTCGAACCAGGATCTCTAGTGCCACAGCTAGCACTGCGATGCAGTGCCTTAGACCACTGCGCCACTCAGGAGAAACTGGCTCACATGAGGACCGCCACAGGAATGGAAGACCCAGAGTTACCTCTGCTGCAGAGGATAAGTTCATTAGAGTTACCAGCCTCAGAAATTGCAGCCCAAATAAATGCTTCACAGAGTTCAAGTAACAGACACATCTCAACATCAACTGTTCAGAGGGGACTGTGCAAATCAGGCCTTCATGGTTGAATTGCTGCAAAGAAACCACTACTAAAGGACACCAATAAGAAGAAGAGACTTGCTTTGGCCAAGAAACACGAGCAATGGACATTAGACCAGTGGAAATTTGTCCTTTGGTCTGGAGTCCAAATTGGAGATTTTTGGATCCAACCGCTGTGTCTTTGTGAGATGCGGAGTGGGTGAACAGATGATCTCTGCATGTGTAGTTCCCACCGTAAAGCATGGAGGAGGAGGTGTTATGGTGTGGGGGGTGCTTTGATGGTGACACTGTCTGTGATTTATTTAGAATTCAAGGCACACTTAACCAACATGGCTACCACAGCATTCTGCAGCGATACGCCATCCCATCTGGTTTGGGCTTAGTGGGACTATCATCTGTTTTTTAACAGGACAATGGCCCAACACACCTCCAGGCTGTGTAAGGGCTATTTTACCAAGAAGGAGAGTGATGGAGTGCTGCATCAGATGACCTGGCCTCCACAATCCCCCGACCTCAACCCAATTGAGATGGTTTGGAATGAGTCGGACCGCAGAGTGAAGGAAAAGCAGCCAACAAATGCTCAGCATATGTGGGAACTCCTTCAAGACTGTTGGAAAAGCGTTCCAGGTGAAGCTGGTTGAGAGAATGCCAAGAGTGTGCAAAGCTGTCATCAAGGCAAAGGGTGGCTATTTGAAGAATCTCAAATATATTTTGATTTATTTAACACTTTTTTTTGATTTACTACATGATTCCCATATGTGTTATTTTATAGTTTTGATGTCTTCACTATTATTCTACAATGTAGAAAATAGCAAAAATAAAGAAAAACCCTTGAATGAGTAGGTGTGTCCAAACTTGACTGGTTCTGTATATCTATATAGATCTATATCTATATAGTTTTGCCTGTATTGGCCTTTAACATCAATTAGCTCTACATTCCATTATCAGAACATGAAGAAAACCTTCCATAAAAACCACAAGAAAACTTTAGTAACGTTCAAAGAACGTTCTAGGAATGTCATTTAAAAAACTTATACTTTCCGTTCTCAGCGTCAACAAAACTCTCTCTCTCCTCTATCTTGTTAAGTGTGTTCAGGTAGGTGTGTTGGCCACGCCCACTCACTGGCCACAGCTGATCTTAATAGTGTTTGAATCAACAGCTTTGTATGATAAGAAAATATGGCATGCTAGATCCATCCTGGTGGCGCAGTGGACTAATTCCAGGGCTAGAGAACAGAAGATCATAGGTTCAAATCTCACTGACGCCGTGTCACAATAAATAAATAAAAAATGAACTGTTTGCATGATTAATGCCTAAGCAAATCAATGTCCATGGTCCTACTTTATCAGTGCTTGGAGTTCAAAACAGTTAACCCAAAATAAGCTAGCAGTGTTATTGAAACGTATGGCTTTGTTCCCACAACCAATGTGAAACCAAAAACATACATTCCCACAACTTCCCGAATGTGCTAGCTGGGTTGTTAGACTGCAGTAGACAGACTTTCAGGTGTGACTGGTTTTTATCATGATGCCTGACTGGTCACATCTCTTCCTCATTGCTCTCTAAAGCTGGCGTTGCATACAACGCAGTTGCTTCTTGATTGCTTTGTGAAACATCCCCCTGCAACTCATCTCCAACTTGGTTGCATCCTGTTGAAACTTTCCAACTGTAAGTCCTGAGGGAACCGTGATCAAAGGTTGACAGAAGAGACATTAGCCAAACGGGAGCTATATCATTAAATATTGGCATCATAGCTAGTCATGGTTTAAGTACATGGTTGGGCAGACAATAAATGTCATTTTAGAAGTGAACCCAGACCTCTCTCTGACCACGTTCAACTGAAATGGTCCACTAGCTTGGTGGGTTAGGGTTAGGGTTAACCCAGACCTCTCTCTGTCCACTAGCTTGGTTAGCTCCTTACTTGAGTAGTGCTGGTCTGTCGGGGGAGGCGGTCTGGGTTAGGGGCGTGGCCTGCAGGATGGGTGTGTCCACTGCTCTCCTGACTGACAGCTGGGGCTGGAAGTAGTAGGAGCAGGACGGGAAGCCCTACACACAATACACACACATTATAAACACACACACACACACACACACACACACACAAACTCCTCACCTTGTGTTCGATGCGTCCATCGTCTTGGGGCAGGTGAGCCGCCAGGTACCAGTCTCCGGGGGCGGGGTTAGAGAGGTTAAAGGTCATGTTGCTTTGTGATGATGTCACAGGAAGGATGAATGAGAGGACTGATGTTGTCACCGTGTTGTTAGGAAACACCCGTCCTACTGGGTCGATGACTGGAGGAGCTCCCCAACTCATGGAACTGGAGGGAGGGAGGGAGGGAGGGAGGGAGGGAGGGGGGGGAGGGAGGGAGGGAGAGAAGAGGGATGGAGGGAGGGGGGGGGAGGGAGGGAGGGGGGGGGGGAGGGAGGGAGGGGGGGGGAGGGAGGGAGGGAGGGAGGGGTGGAGGGAGGGATATAAGAGGGAGGGAGGGAGGGAGGGATAGATGAGGAAGGAGGGAGGGATATAAGAGGGAGGGAGGGATAGATGAGGGAGGGAGAAGGAAGAGAGGGATGGAGAGGTGGAGGGTTAGATAGAGAACACTGAGTAGAAACATGTTATTGCAGGTAGAGACAGGCTGTGATGTGTTGCCCCCAAAGACAGAGAGAGGTAATAACAGAACTGCTGATTCTATTACTGCCACTAGCAACATCTCTAGACCAAGTTCACAGAGTTGTCATCGTTGAGCAATGAGCAGCACTGAGCTTTAGTGCCTGATTGTCCACTCAACATTGCACACAACAGAAAGGAAGCATTATTGTCATAGACTTACATGGTGACGTTGTGTGTTCCACAGTGGAAACCGCTGCCCCTGGTTACAGTGAACAGCCAGCGGGCGGCGACGGTGTCGTCCGGGATATGGAACATGGTCAGCCTGATGTTGCCATACCAACCGTATCTAGACAGCTTCTGGGCCGGCTTGGAAGACAACTCCTGAACTAACGTCAGCTCACCACCTGGAGGGACACACATATTAACGCGTAAATCATAGTCCACAGACGCTGAGACGTGATAGTTACGCGGCTCTGAGACCACCGTCCGCGGGGGACGCACAGCTCACACTGGCTAGCTTCCTAACAACACAACTGGCTAAGCTAACGTTAGCTAACCGAGCGACGTTAGCTAGCTCGGGGATATGTTGTCGTGACTTACCATCGCCGAAAGCGGTAGCTATGAAAGACAACACCAGCAAACTTGGCAGTATGTGAATTTCCATTTTGTTTTTTCACAAAACGCGTTTATTTTCCTCCAAACCATCACATCTCATATCGGGCTAGCAGCTCCCGAGTTGACCGGCGTCTCTTGGTTGTAAAGTAAACAAGCCCCACAAAGCCCTGCGCGGTTCCAGGAAGTCCAGGGGAGGGTTCTGTTCCAAATCAACAAAAACATAGATGGCATCGCCTCTTCCTCTCTGACAAAAGCTAAATAAAACAATATTATAAAATGTACAATCATAACACTTCTTAATATTAATTAAATGGGTTGTGGTCAGTAAACCAATGGAATATGGTGTTAGGTAATTGCGTAGCTACTGTTAATAATACAAATCTACTAGCAATACAAATTACAAGTGCATAACTAATGGTCATTTTCCATGAAGAAACGTTTTTGAAAAGTATTGGTATCATTATTTTGTTGCAATGTTTTCATAAACCATGCACAATATTTGATTGGCAATTTTTTTTTAAAGCCTCATGTTGATGTTGGTCACATTACCGCTAACTAATGTGAGTTTGTCATGCTGTGCACACTGTGCAGTTCCAACATAATCCAAAGGGAGCAGCCTAGATCACAAATTAATGTTTTGCATGAAATAATGTTCTGGTTACGTGCAATATAGCAGGATTGGGCAGGCTGCCATCCTTTTGTTGGAACTGCGTAAACTCACATTAGCAGTAGGCTTGTATTATAACTGTAGAGTGATTTACATTTACTTAATTTTTTTTTTTTAGGGGTGGGGGGGGGGGGGGGGGGGGGTTAGAAGGATTACTTTATCCTATCCCAGGTATTCCTTAAAGAGGTGGGGTTTGAGGGCAGCTTCAAGCTACTTTCCTGTTGAGGGGAGCTTCAAGCTACTTTCCTGTTGAGGGCAGCTTCAAGCTACTTTCCTGTTGAGGGCAGCTTCAAGCTACTTTCCTGTTGAGGGCAGCTTCAAGCTGCTTTCCTGTTGAGGGCAGCTTCAAGCTGCTTTCCTGTTGAGGGTAGCTTCAAGCTGCTTTCCTGTTGAGGGCAGCTTCAAGCTGCTTTCCTGTTGAGGGTAGCTTCAAGCTGCTTTCCTGTTGAGGGCAGCTTCAAGCTGCTTTCCTGTTGAGGGTAGCTTCAAGCTGCTTTCCTGTTGAGGGTAGCTTCAAGCTACCTTCCTGTTGAGGGCAGCTTCAAGCTACTTTCCTGTTGAGGGTAGCTTCAAGCTACTTTCCTGTTGAGGGTAGCTTCAAGCTATATTGCCTATTTGTCAGCTGTGCAAACCTGTCTATGACTTCACTCTTTCCCAAGCATGTGGGCCTTGGTTTCTCAAATGACTGCCTCGCCTGGTTCACCAACTACTTCTCAGATAGAGTTCAATGTGTCAAATCGGAGGGCCTGTTGTCTGGACCTATGGCAGTCTCTATGGGGGTGCCACAGGGTTCAATTCTTGGGCCAACTCTTTTCTCTGTGTATATCAATGACGTCGCTCTTGCTGCTGGTGACTCTCAGATCCACCTCTACGCAGACGACACCATTTTGTATACATCTGGCCCTTCATTGGACACTGTGTTAACAAACCTCCAAACGAGCTTCAATTCCATACAACACTCCTTCAGTATATATTATATAAATATATTGGTCATTTAGCAGACGCTCTTATCCAGAGCGACTTACAGGAGCAATTAGGGTTAAGTGCCTTGCTCAAGGGCACATCGACAGGTTTTTCACCTAGTCGGCTCAGGGATTAGAACCAGCGACCTTTCGGTTACTGGCACAACGCTCTTAACCACTAAGCTACCTGCCACCCTTCAGTAGCCTCCAACTGCTCTTAAACACTAGTAAAACTAAATGCATGCTCTTCAACCGAACGCTGCTTGCACCCGCCCACCCGACTAGAATCACTACTCTAGACGGGTCTGACCTAGAGTATGTGGACAACTACAAATATCTAGGTGTCTGGTTAGACTGTAAACTCTCCTTCCAGACTCACATTAAGAATCTCCAATCCAAAGTTAAATCTAGAATCGGTTTCCTATTTCGCAACAAAGCCTCCTTCACTCATGCTGCCAAACATGCCCTCGTAAAACTGACTATCCTACCGATCCTTGACTTCGGCGATGTCATTTACAAAATAGCCTCCAACACTCTACTCAGCAAATTGGATGTTGTCTATCACAGTGCCATCCGTTTTGTCTCCAAAGCCCCATACACTACCCACCACTGTGACCTGTACGCTCTTGTTGGCTGGTCCTCACTACATATTCGTCGCCAAACTCACTGGCTCCAGGCCATCTATAAATCACTGCTAGGCAAATCCCCGCCTTATCTTAGCTCATTGGTCACCATAGCAACACCCACCCGTAGTCTGCGCTCCAGCGGGTATATCTCACTGGTCATCCCCAAAGCCAACACCTCCTTTGGCCGCAATTCCTTCCAGTTCTCTGCTGCCAATGACTGGAACAAATTGCAAAAATCTCTAAAGCTGGAGACACTTATCTCCCTCACTAACTTTAAGCATCAGTTGTCAGAGCACCTTACCGATCACTGCACCTGTACACAGCCCATCTGGAATTAGCCCGCCCAACTACCTCATCCCTATATTGTTATTTATTTTGCTCATTTGTACCCCAGTATCTCTATTTGCACATCATCTCTTGCACATCATTCCAGTGTTAATACTAAATTGTAATTATTTTGCACTATAGCCTATTTTATTGCCTTACCTCCATAACTTGCTAAATTTGCACACTGTATTATAGTATTTCTTTGTATTTTTGACTTGTTTGTTTTAACCCCATATGTAACATCTGGTGTTGTTTTATCGCCACGCTTGCTTTTCTGCCAGGTGTCGCTAGTTGTATGGACTTGTTCCTCAACTGGTTGTGCCTGTAAATCAGGTGAAATCAAGCAATAACAAAAATAAAAATCTTGTCATGAGGACACATCGCATTCATCTTGGTTCATTGTGTCTAACCAGTATGAGACGTCTAAAGCACTGAAAGACCTCTGCTACCAGCGGTCTAACTGGATGGTCTGAAAGACTCCACACTGCAGCTGCTATGTGGTCTGAAAGACCTCTCACGCTGCAGCTGCTAATGGATGCTGAAAACCTTGCACAGCTTGCTGCTAACTGGGATGGACTGAATACTCTCTCACACTCTGCTGCTAACTTGGATGTTGAAAGACCTTACACTGCAGTGCAACTGATGGTCGAAGACCTTCACAGCGCAGCTGCTAATTAGGGATGCGTCCTAAAGACCTCTCCAGCTAAGCTGCTAATGGGATTGTCTGAAAGACCTCCACAGCTGCAGTGCTAACTGATGTCTTGAAGACCTTCACAGTGCAACTGTAATGGGATGCTAAAGACCATCTCAATGCTGCTGCTCACTGGATGGTCTGAAAGACCTTCACAGCTGCGTGTATATGATGGTTAAGACTTCACATGTGCAGTGTAACTGGTGATTGTTGAAAGACCCTCAGCTGATGCTAACTGGGATGGTTGAAAGACCTTCTCACGCTGCAGCTGTACTGGGATGTCTGAAAGACTCTCACAGTCGCAGTGTAACTGGATGGTCTGAAAGGCTCTTACAGCTGCAGCTGTAAATGGGATGGTGAAAGAAACTCTCACAGCTGTGTGCAAACTGGATGCTGAAAAACTCGTCAAGTGCAGCGCTAACTGGATGTTGAAGACTTCACACTTGAGCTGCAACTGGGTGGTCTAAAACCTCTCAAGCTGCAGCTCTTAACTGGGATGCTGAAAGACCTCTCACAGCTGCAGCTGCTAACTGGGATGGTCTGAAAGACCTCTCACAGCTGCAGCTGCTAACTGGGATGGTCTGAAAGACCTCTCACAGCTGCAGCTGCTAACTGGGATGGTCTGAAAGACCTCTCACAGCTGCAGCTGCTAACTGGGATGGTCTGAAAGACCTCTCACAGCTGCAGCTGCTAACTGGGATGGTCTGAAAGACCTCTCACAGCTGCAGCTGCTAACTGGGATGGTCTGAAAGACCTCTCACAGCTGCAGCTGCTAACTGGGATGGTCTGAAAGACCTCTCACAGCTGCAGCTGCTAAC